AAGTCACTTGACCTCAGTAAGCCTTCGTTTCCTCATCTGTAAAATGGGATAACGGTATCTGCTTCATGTTATCATGAAGATTAACTGCGATCTATGTAAAGTGCCCGACCCATAACAGGCATCCAGCAGAGGCCATTCTTGTCAGGGAAGCACACTGGCTTCCAGCCCCGCCCCACACCAGCTCTCTCTCTTCTTCCGCAAGCCCTACTCCCCACCCGCTCGCTGCCCTCCTTCGAAGCAGCCCAGGTTTGCTCTCTCCCTAGAACTTCTCCTGCAGGCCTGGCAGGTAAGGGAGCTTCCTCCCCCAGGTGACTCTCCCTTAAGTAACTTGACAAGGTACATTGGGTTTCAAGATTTATTGCTAATTGAATGCCAAAGGTGGGGAAATTACCAAGTTTCTAGATTCTTACAGAGTCTCAGTGGGTCTGACTCCTTTCTGAGGTGGCGGCCACTGGCCCTGATGTTCATGTCCCCCCTGCTTTCTGACCTCTTCCCGCAGGAAGGCCTCCTGCCTCTGGGAGCCTCCCACTGGGACCTTCTTGTCTCAAGGGGGGGCTGTGGGTTTCTGACCACTCCTGGCTGAGGTCATTCTACTCAGCTTCACTCTCTCACGGACAGTTTCCTCGGGACAAAGTCCCCTTCTAGCCCCTCCCGGTCCACGCCAGGAAGAAGCAGAGGTAGATGGTTGGGTGGGGGATAACTAAAGTCTGAGAAATCCTCTGGGATCCAAGAAAAGAGAAAATTCTCTCGTTCCCTCCCCTCGCCTCCCTTCCCCCAGAACCCAGCCAACTGCAGCTTCAGGCTGCCTGGGGTGCCGCCTGCCCCTTTGCCCTCTCTCCAGGAGTAAATATTGGATCAGGTTCAGGCACCAGCTGTTTAACTAAGAGCAAACTCGTGGGTTCATGAGTAGCTGAGATCCTGGGGAAGAAATTCTGAGCAGCATTAATGCCCGGGAGGGACCCTAGGCAAGCTCCCTGAGCAGACTGCCTGCCTGGGGTCCAGACTCCGCTCCCTCCCTGCCCCTGCCTGCATCAGGCACTCCCAGCCTGTGAGGCTGGGCTGTCATCTGGAGTAGCTGGTCCCCTGGAATGGGTCTTTCTTGCCGGGCCATTTGGCAAGATGATCTGATTTGGGGCAGCCTGGTATTTTCAGGAATTATACCTGCCCTCACCTGTTCACTCTGGTAAACTTATCATCACTGCCTAGACACTCAAGTGCATTTTTGCCTGGTAGTACCTGACATGTTCAGATGTATTGTGATTGGACGTACCTGTTCATTTGGGTGAAGGGTCCCTGGACCTAGATGATCATTCAGGTGTGTCTGAGCTGAGCGGGCCTGGTATCCGTCCCATCTTTCAGACAGGGTGTGTTCCTGGGAGGCCCTGGTAATCCACACCATTCTGGTCCCTGACTCACCCCAGAGAAAAAGGGACTGTGTATATAATCCCCTGCTTCTCCCTCACTCCTCCAGATGCGCCCCCCACCCCATCCCTGGGCCTGTCCAGTTGCTTCTGGTTCTTGACCCCTCCCACCTGCCAGGCCCCACTTCCATCCTTCAGGCCAAGCCTGGCTGCTCTGGAGCCCCAGCCCCTCCCAGGCTGCAGGAAATGGGGAAGCTGGTCTGGAAGGAACCCCCAGGGAAATTAGCTATGACTCCAAGGAACAATGGTCCCCAGAGCTGGGTTCGCAGGTGTGGTGGGAAGGGCTCCCTGCTGGTCCCAACAGGCATAGATCTGGGCCCAGAAACTTACATCCTCCAGGCTGAGGTGGGAGAGAGACAACTTACTGCCCTGGAAACATGTCCCGAGCCTGGCCACGGGCTGCTAAAGAGCTGAGATTTTGAGAGCGGGTGAGAGGAGCACAGCCTGCCAGGCATTTCTCTGGGCCGTGCTAACTTCAGAGGCCAGCAGTGTGAGGCATCATTGCCAGGCTCTCCTCACCCCTCCCTCCCTCCCCACACTGGGGAGGCTGGAGAGGCAGCAGGGTTAGCCCCCGCCAATCAGAGCCAGAATAACCACCAGGGGAGAGGGGCAGGAGCCAGAGAAGTTTCTGTACACTTTCTTGACTCTGTCAGCAGAGTTAGTTTCCTGGGCTCTAGCTGGGTGCTGTCCGTCAATCCAGCTGCTCAGTTTTAACATAAAATGTTTTGCAAATGTGTGTCAAACAGCATCCATATCTTTTATCCATGTCCTGGTTTCAGAGGCTCTGGCCTCTGTCTCTTCCCCCAGTGAACTTGCCTTCTTATCCGTGCTGAATGGTTTTCTCTGTGGCTCTGTCCTTCATCAGGATCCAGCTGCTGGAGCTAGAGCTCAGAGCATCGTATCTTCCAGACCCAAGCTGCTCAGATGAGAGCTCTGGAACGGTATGGTGCCTCTACAGGAGATTCTGTTCCTGTAACCCTCCTGACCCTTCTGTGCACCTCCCGGAGCTCCAGGCAGCTGCCTTCTCTCTAATCTCTCTTTGCCTGCTCCATCCTCACTCTGGGCCCTGGGTAGCAGCAGTGAGATCAGATGCAGAAGACCCAGGGCATCTTCTCTATCCTTCGGTTAGTGGTCATGGTTG